TAACTCAGTTTCTAATACAAACTATAAGTCACCTATAATGAAGCTATGTAGATATGCAATGATTGGCTCCTAGAGCCCCTGGTACCATGTACCAGGTATTACAAGAGTGACTGGTCACTCTTCATGTAACTTGGGTACACTTGGGGTTTGTACCTCGTTACAGTATATGAACTATGCGAGGAAAATCGGATCCCTGGTATACTCTGATCAGAGAACGTTACTAGTAAATTTGAAATGCATGAAATTATGAAGCGCACTAAAACAGTTACTAGCGTGTCGAATACCGTCGGGTGTCACTGCTACTTGAATAGCTGCAAACAAATAAATGGAAAGTGTTACCTGAATGTTTGGTAGTAAATCCCAATGTACTATACTACTTTTATAAAATGCACAAAGGCTCATAGTAGAAAGGAAGCCTGGCATTATATGCATATGCATAGTAACTGCGAAGGAATTCTGAACCATAGGACTAGCATATTTTGGCTTAGAATTGTAGTACTATCAAACCGACTCGGAAGTCCTAACAGTGGTGACCCATGCTCAAGATTCATCTACTCTGCATCATGTTGCCGCATGTATACTTATCGGCAACGATGAATCATTTGGATCGGCGGTTCTCTGTTTCTTGATTGGGGTTTGAAAGAGGCTGTAATTTACAGAACGCGACAGCCCTGTAAAAGAATCGAGCAAATATTTTGCCATCGCTACAGTACATGTAGCGACACTAAGCTTGCAAACATGCCACATCATTCGTCGCTGACTCTGAGGCAATGTGGCTTTGGCAATGGTGACGGTTTGTCGTGGTGGGCTCTCCGGTCATGACCATTCTTTTAGCGTTTAATACTTCAAGTAAAAATACAAATGGGTACCTTTTCCAACACGCGAATACAAAAGACATTGGCTCCCGCCTAGATTCTATCGCTCTTGTGCACTCTATTGGACGGGATCTTCGTCTTGAGACCGCACAAGTCCATCAGCCGGGGCCTTCGCACGCACCGCGTGCAACCGCAGTTCACAGCTCCACTGCTGGTGGCAGCGCTGTTGGCATCGCTGACAAGCATCTCGCCTTCTGTGTCCCGTTCTCGCTCGGAGTGCTCTGTCTCTGCTTGTGACTTCCAGGAGATTTGATAACCAGACGGAGCAGGCATTCATTCGCGCTTCTGCTCCCCATCCATTTGCTCTCATCCTCTCGATCGCGAGGGGTTTTGACTGCGACGCGCGGAGCTGAATGGCAAATTTGGCCTCTGTAAGCTCCCTCGCTCCACCTCGGACCCAGCTCTCCATCCAGAGGCCGTCGACAGCACTGGACAGCAGCGACGAGGCGCGCACTGACACGTCCTCGTCACCCTCCATGAACCCGGCGCGCTCGTCCGGCACCGACGCCAAAGGCCGCGGCAACGGCAGCGCAACAGCTACAGCGACGACAGCGACAGCCTCCACTTCCTCCTCCTCTAGTGGCAGACGTAGGAAGGCAGACGCAGCCGCTCCAGGTGAGGACAAACCGGCCCCTAAGCAGCGCAAATACGAGCGCAAGACCAAGCGCTTCATTTGGCCCGACGATCTCCATCGGCTCTTTGTGGCTGCCATCTTCGACGGTGCGTGAATAAATGCCAAAACCCACTTATATAGTATGATGGTGACAATACTGAGACTTTGAATGCTACAGTTGGTCTCAAGAACGCGTCCCCGAAGGCTCTGCTGGCTGTACGTTTAGTCGTTTCTTCTTTAAGTAGGAGCACGAGTTGACTAACTTGTGTGCATTGATGCAGCTCATGGAAGCAGCAGGACCGAACTCCGGACTCACGACGGAGCATCTCAAGTCTCATCTGCAAAAGTATCGCCTCAACTATGAGCGCTCTAGGATGGAGTTTCTCGAGTATTACGACCGCAGTGCTAAGCGCAACCTCAAGCGCCGTCGTCGTCAGGCTCAACATCGAACGAGTGGCGCTGGTAACGAGGCCAATACCATGTTCGTGTTCCCCATCAGCAACTCCAAGCGTCGAAAGAGCCGAGGAAGCGACAGTGACAGCGACGACAGCGATTCGGACACTGGCGATAGTAACACCACTGACAGCAGGTTGGAGGTGGAGACTAAAGGCCAGACAACCCCACAGGGACGACGCGGATCCCCCGCAGCTGCAGCTAATACCCATGCGCGTAGTTTGAATTACTCGCAGCTCATGCAGAGTGCACAGCAACCGCCAATCCTCGACGTAAGCAGCCATACTCGTCAGCATCCTCAGATCCCGACTGATCGGATGATGCCCGTCATTCCAACACCAGGATCGACTGGTATCATTCCGATAGCACCTCAGCACTTGCCTCCAGCATATGCAGCTCATATCCAACGAAAGCAGGCGTCCGACCACGGCCGTGACTTGGTTGCAGCTGCCGCCGCTGTAGCAGCATATCGCTACCCGTTAGGACAGTTACCTGTGGCCTCGGGAGTGGCTGGGATGCCGGAGCTTTCTGACCCCCAGTGGAGCATTTTGAACTCCCTTATGTCTCCGCAGTTAGCTGGTATGACTGGGCCTGTAGGTGAAGGTGGTCTTCTTCCACATGCAGCTTCGAGTGAGACAATGGCTCGTGGTAGTGGCGCTGATGGATTCATGCTTCAAGAGGAACCAACCGATCTACAGATGCAGATGCACTTAGCCATGCAAGCTCAGATGAACCTTCATCGCCAGATGCTCACGCGCAAGGTGGAAGTGGCCCAACACCTCGCTCGTCATAGCAGTATGGGGAGTATGGATACCAACGCTGTTCCGAACAATGCAAACAGATCACAGAGTGGATTTGGCGAGACGTGGAATAGCCCACAGCAGCTCCAACAGTATCAGCAACAGCAGTCGAAACAGGAACAGCAACCACCTTATCAGCAGCAGATGAATCCTCGGGCCCCGGCAACAGCGACGCCGGTACCAGTGCCCGGGGCAGGTGTGTCTGCTGAGGCGATAGTGATGGCCCCCACAGCCAGCGAAACTATGGTAGTCTCAACTTCAGTAGCTGATAATGAACCTGTAGCCACGGACAGTAGTGCAGCTGGCGTGACAGCAGAGACGAAGAGTGACGACGACGGAATGGATCTCTATCGTTGGGACCGCATTGATCTCAATGTGGAACTGGACGACGACGATCTTTTCGGCTTCCTGAAGTCGTAAGGGGAATGCGTACACTTCTTCGCTTCTGGGTTTGACGTAGTGTATGCACATGTGGTAATAATGAAAAAAAAAGAGTGTTGGCGTCGCATATGCTGCCAATAGTTTTCTACGTAGACAGGAGTGAGGAGCAGGGAGGGGTCGCAAGTGGGTGATGTATCGTGTGGAAGTACATCTACCAGGGAGCGACCAGCAGGATGTCGAGCAGCAGCATCGCGAAACGTATGAGACCTGTAAGCAATACTGCGAAGTAACTTAGAGTGACGAGGATACCTGTAACAAACATGCAGGAGCTGCTTCTTCCTTTGGTACTTCACTGTTGTTAACCTGGTAGAATCTACTGATGGGGCCTTATCAGTAAAGAGGAACGTTGACCCTAAGATTTCCTGTTCTTCATAATACCCGTTTCCACTCCTTTGCTCTGTGCATCTGATCTCTACTGGGCATCAGTCATGGGCTCCGCTCCATTCGTGGATGTCTCGGTGGGCGGCTTCTCGTCGTCCAGCAGTCCTCGGATAAAAAGCACGTTGTTACAGCGCACGAGAGTCTCGCCCAGGTTGCCCGTGAGCTCTCCGTTAATGTATTCCTCCGTATTAGCCAGCTGCAAGTTCATGTACGAGTCCACTGACAGCAGCACGCCCTTGTATTCCATGCCCCACTTGAGTCGCGCCACAACAGGTTTGCCCGTGAGGTTGGTCAGGAATGGCTTGGGGTTGAGGATCAGGCCGGACTGTATGGAGACGAAAAATTTGCAGAAACAGCATGCAGAGGGTCAGTACAATGTGCTCTCAACCTGACCGCATCCATTGAGGTCGAATCCGCCACGTAGGCGCATACAAGGTGAGCCAACAAGCTCTCCGCCACGCACCATTTTGCTCGGCGAGGTCTTTCACACTGCGATCGGATCTTTCAGCCAGTAGAAAGCGCGCATTCATTACAGCCAATCATAGTATGAATATGGAAATATATTTAGCCAATCAGCTCGCAACCAACATGGCTACATTAGATCGTTTACCGTTGCTCTGCGTCCAGCGTGATAACCTTGCGCTCGATGCGCGTGAGGAAGTTGCCGAGCGCCTCTGAGCCACGCACGAAGATGTTGAGCACGGGGATACCAGGAACCACATACTTATCATGTGTCAGCAGTTGCTTCAGCGTGCAGAAGGGCGCCACCTCGATCCAGAACTGCGTCTTGGCCTCGTGCTTCTCCTCGAGTCTAATGCGCTTGACCTCCTCGTCGTCCTCCTCCTTCTCGCCGCTGAGACCCACATGCCACTCCTTAGGCGACGAGTATGGCAGCACCATGTCCACTGCTGCATATACTACCAGTTTGGAGGCCACGAACTCGTTATTGGTGTCCCAATCGGCGTACGGACCGTCCTCCGGGAACATATTGGCGAGGTGTTCGATCATCGTGTCCTGCTCACCGAAAAACTGCACAAAGTCCGATGTACCGTGTTGGTCGTACAGGAAGAGCACGGGCCAGTACATGTTGCCGCTCTCGGGGTCCAAGTCGGCCTTGCCTTCGTACTGACGCACACGCTCATCATCTACTAGAGCGCGACCCACACGCACGCCGCGAGATGCACACAGTTTACGGTACTTGTCCGTGGCCGCACGGCGCTTCATGCGTTCCCTCTCGCGCTTCAGCTTCTCAACACGCAGCTCCTCCACAAGTCTGCGTCCCTCCACTTGCAGCTTCAACAGAAGCTTATTCTCCGGGTCACGCTGAAGTCCTTCCTCGCAGTAACGCAGTGTATCCGCAGGCTTACGCAGCATCCTAGATGCCTTAGCGCCACGGTAGTACGCTTTGACATTGCTGGGGTCGAAGTTAATAGCCTTAGCAGCGTCAGAACGGCAGCTGGCGTAGTTCTTGAGCTCCAATTGCACGGCCGCGCGGTTGCACAGAATCTGTGACGTGAGCTCCTTCATGTCGTACGAAAGATCGCGCTCTTCCTTGGGCAGCGCCAGCGCCTTGTAGGCATAGGCCAGCGCGTCGTTATAGTACTTCATAGCGTTCTTGAAGTAGCCTCTATGGGCCTTCTTGGCATCCGAGAACATATCATTGCCCTGGTTCTTCCAGTGCAGCGCCAGGCTCTCGGCCGTCTCGCCGTCCTCAATTAGAGCCTGGATGGCCGCCACCATCTCGTCACCTTCCACCACGTGGTCCTCGAAGAGCGTCATGTCCGGCAATGCGTCCATGTAGGCCTGACGCTCGGCCGGGTCCCACAACTTGCTCTCATCGATCTCGAGGTCCACGCCCATATTCTCCATGGTTATCAAGGACTATGTAGTCAATCAAGACACCTTGATGCAATAATCCGAAAAATGACTGGCAACGTCGCCTCTAACTACCGATAATCTCTCTTAGGTGCGAATTTGGTTTTCAAGAGACGTAGTGTCACTCTGTAACTCGAAGCGATGGCGGACACAAGCAGCAAGCGTGCGCTGGATGAAGCAGAGGTGGAGACGCAGCTGCAACCGACGCAGGATACGCTGGTTGAGTGCTGTGGCTGCGGCAAGAGTGACGTCAAGTATCGTTGTCCCCGTTGCGAGCGCATCACGTGCTCACTACAGTGCTGCGTTGCGCACAAGAAGCAGGTACGTACTGCCTAGTCCTGCGAATGAAGTTTCACTGCTAACCTTATTGCTTTAATTCCGCTGACGACAGTTCGGCTGCAATGGAAGACGCGACCGCACCAAGTTCGTTGAACTCAAAAAGTTCACGGACGCAGATCTCTCCAGCGGTAAGAGAACCAATCCAGTTGCTACTCGATACGATGCTCAATGCTTACCTGGTTGCTATACGTGCTTGTTATTTGTTGCTTTTTGTATAGATTTTTTCTTCTTGGAGGAGGTTTCTCGCTCCACGAACAGTGCGGCACGGTCTCGGAGCCAACTGAACGCCAATGCTCGGCGCTATACTAGCAACAAGAAGCGAAAAGTGGCAACCGATGCTGGAAGTTCATCAGCTCCGATCAATCCTGACATTCCAGCGGATTGGCTAGCGCGCTTTCCGATCGCCGTGCAGCTGTTTGCCGAGCATTCGGCTAAACGAGGCGTGGCGTTGACGCTGCTCGCTCCAGGCATGAGCAAGCGCGCTCGTAACTCGTCCTACATGGATACGAAGAAGAACACCATGTACTGGCGTGTAGAGTGGGCCTTTCCCAGTGCCGAAGTGCCGGTGAGTCATCATGAGGAGCGAGCGAATGAGAGAGATACTGTGTTCTCGCTACTCGCAAAGTATCTAACCCCCAGCCAGGTATGTCTCTTAATGAAGCCAAATGGTGCTACAGGATGAGTTATAACATTGAATTGTGGCTGTAGGAAAACGTCGCTATCTGCGGAAAGCTCAAAAAATATGCCGTAGCGGACTGGGAGAAGCACGTTGTGCTTCTATTGCGAAAAGAGTTCACTCCTGCGTCACAGCCACAGTATTACCGGTTGGACGGCAGCCAGAGCGTTGAAAGCAACCTGAAGCGGAAGGCAGTGGTTGAGTTTCCTGTCATCATCGTGGCTCTGGATGCTGATGCCGATAAGTATCCAGTGGCTCACGATGTGATCGAGACGATCTCATCAGTGGGGACGAATGCAATCGAAGAGCCTTCTACTGAAGAACCTGAAGTGATGGAGGTGGAAGAAGAAGGATCAAGAAATGAAATCTCGTCGGAGTTACTGACTCTCGAAGACCCAAGCACTACAGACAAAATTTGCTCCATCTCAGAAGAGGAAAGTGAGGACGTTGAGGCTTCTACTCAACCGAAAAGTGTGCTGATTGAGGAGATCCAAGTCACCGCTCACTGACAGATGACAAACCCAATACTCAATCAATAAAAACTGCATGATAGATCTCATCTCGATAGTGAACACTTTAGGATCTCCCGACTTTTCAACAGACTGTCGAGGAGACATAACGGACGTTAAGGCTAAGACAAAGCATGGCGACCTCGTGGTTCGTGGACCCGGAGCTTAAGCCGACGACCTTCACGGCGTCTTATGTATGCAACAACCTGTCTAAGCATGGCGAGACACTGGTAAGCCGTATGTTTTAGAATATCCGAGGTGTTGGAAGTCCTAACAGATCTTCGATCTGTAGGCTTATGCGAGCGTAGACGACGTGGTGTATGTGGACACGACGCATACGCCTTACAGGACTCATAAACTGCCCTGTGCAGAAAAATCTGCAGTACACCAAGTGCGCTTCTGCACGTTGAAAGACTTAGTCGTGATCGTCGTTGCCTCGGACAACGGCATTCAGGTATCCACCTCGTTAAGAAGAGCTCAATATGGAAGCCTAACGATCGCTGACATGTAAACAGATCTACGACTCCACGGGTGAGGAGAGTCTTGCGGAGATCGCACTGAAGGATATCGTGGGTGCTGAAGGTAACTACTACTTGGCCTTATTAATATTGGTACCTGTAGCTCGTAGTCTCACTAATCCGATTAAAGCAGGGGATTATTTCTATTGTCAAGGCATTTGCTCCATCCACATGAAGGAGCCACGGCTCGTCGTGGGTGAGTGGAATCGAATGGACTTAACATTTTCGAGTAGAGCTAATAGATTGCACAGGCACGTCGGTCGGGAAGCTCCTTGTCATTGGGAAGGAGGAAGAAGCCAAGTCAGGGGAAGGATCTAGCTTCGAGGTGTGCAAGACTCTTACCGAGCATGGCGAGGCTATTTGCAGTGTGGAGAGCTCCCTTGACGGCACATTGCTAGCGAGCAGCGATATGAGTGGAGCTATTATGATCCGTAACCCCAGGGACGGCTTCGAGGTTACCCACCGGATCGTGAGCACCGGTTATCCTGCGACTTCTATGACTTTTATGGCGGAAAACTGGCTGGTGGCTGGCTTCCTGACTGGGTGTCTGCGGTTGTATAACCCCGAGAACTTCCACTTGCACGCTGAGGTGGCTGCCCATACACGCGCGATCACGGCGTTGGATGCACACAACGAGTTTGTAGTGTCAGTGAGCGACGATACGTTTATGAATATCTGGGAGATTTCATCCACCAAACCGGGAGCAGCACCGCGCGTAAAACTCGTGAGCTCTCAGCCTGTCCCGAATGATCTCCTCACAGGCGTGGCCTTCGTGTCGACTAACAGCCTCTTGACTGCGGCATACGACAGTGCGCACCTCAAGCTCTGGAGCCCGGAATAAGGAGCAGGTTTAAGACTTCAGCAGACTTGAATACAAGAAGAAGCGGGGTTAATTCTCATCTGCAATATATCGGATTCAAGATGCACACCCAGAATTTGGTCTTAATCATAGAGGGCATCGTCGTACTCGATGTGGTCCTCCATCTTCTTAGCAGCTCCGTTCAAAGAAGTCCACGGTAGCTCCTTTGCTTTGGTCAGTGTAATAGTTAGCGTATCCTTGTGCGCCTTCCACGCCACGTCCGTGATTTCTTGAAATAACGACGAGATCTTTAGACTCTTAGCGATGTCCCCACCAGGAGAGTTGAGCAGATCCATCGACAGCGACGTGTTGGTCCATTTCTATTCATACAGCAGTCAGTAAGTTAGTACGGATTGCTCTGCAGACTTGCAGTAACCGAGTTCTAACTTACCAGAACTAGTTGATCTTCCTTCATGTTCTTCACCACGTTGTCCGTCAGGTAGATGCTGTAACCATAAGACAAACACACAGCCCGTTAGACATTCAGTTGTCTCACATAAGCACGTTATTACTATTTCCACCCACCTAACCGTCTCCTTGTCGTTGCTCCAGCCGAAAGACGACACCTTGGCCGTGTCCGAATTGCCATTGCCGTCTTGGTGTTGGTGGGTGTAGTAATAGCTGTGTTCTCCCTTCGTAATTTTATTCTCATCCAACGCAGAACTCGGCTCTTCGTCCTCTTCTTCGTCGTCACCATCTCCTTCTGCGTCTTCTTCTCCGTCCACCGTGTCCGTCTTCTTCTTGAGCGTCGCGTTCAATCGCGCGGCGAACCGCCAGAGCATCACTGTCAGTACAACCACCGCCACACTCACCGCCACCTGCTCCAGGAGGCCCTTGTTCATGTGAACGTTTCCCCATGGCGTCACCAGCTTCACGTAATTCGCCCCAGCGCTGGGCACGTACAGGTACGGCACGAAGAAGCCCTCGCCCATTGCGATCAGCGTTCAACAACAGATACTGTGACGTGGCGACCATCGAAACGTCTGTCCATTGGTCAAAATAGAATCGTGCTAAATTAGATGATTTTATTTCAGGGTACTCTGCAAACTTATGTTATAACCAAACAGATTTACAAGGTTTTTAGGTCTGCGGCTGTGTCGCCTCGGACCAGACAAATAACGCCGCGAGAAGCTCGAAGCTACTGCTGTTGTCGCTGTCGCCATGAAGCCGTTGTTCGGGAAGATCGTGTCCAACAAGATGCAGAAGTCGGTGCTGGTGGAGGTGGCCCGCATCGTGAAGGACCCCAAGTACGGCAAGTACTACAAGAAGACCAAGAAGTTCATGGCCCACGACGAGGAGAACGCCTGCAACATCGGCGACTTCGTGCGTCTGTCAGGCACTCGCCCACTGTCCAAGCGCAAGCGCTGGAACGTCGAGGAGATCACGCGCAAGGCCGAGGTGTAAGGTGGTTCTCAGTTTACATGCTGCGGTGGCTGAAAATAATCCCTAGTCTGGCAGTGTTGGCTGGACGACGGAGACCTCGGAAAGCAAAGTAGCAAGCGTATTAGCAGAGCAGGAAACACTGTGGAAAGTAAGTTAGAGTTGATTTCCTGTCTGGTGTTTGGAGTCCGCTGTGTTGTGTATGATACAGCAGACTACGCGGGGCTGACCGACAAATACTGCGGGCTGTTGTTAGCTACCTATTGCCTAGCTTCAGGACATACTGGCTTCAACGCAGACTACAGTTCATCGTCATCAGAGTCTGAAAGATCTGCGAATGGATCTAATGCCGGGAAATCGCCCACTGCAACGTTATGAGGGCGAATGAATCCGCCATACTTCTGCTCGCACTTAAAGTAAGTTGCGCCCTTGACAGAGCCGTCACCTTTGCCCACAGGCTCGTCGAACTGCACTCCGACCCAGTAGCCCGGAGCGATCTCTGGAATCTCTCCCAGGTACTGCACCTGTCCACGACGACCCCCGGGCTGCACTTCACATCGGTCGCCAACCTTCAAGTTTACAACAGTCTCTGGGCCTGGCAGCGCTGCAGGATCCACAGTCGGTTTAGTGACATTCATCATGGCCTTGGGCTTCCAGTTGGGGTCCTTAGCAAGCTGCTCCCTCTTGTACGCACGCACAGTCTTCTCGCCTGTTCAAGCAACCAGATCATCTTTAATTGTTAACACCATCCATCAACGGTGCCAGACCTGTTGTAGCCCAGAGCACTTACGCTTGTTGTAGTCCTCCTCGGAGATCTCGTACTTCTTGACGAGCGATACGTCCTCCAGGCCGCCGCCTTTCGAGAGTGAAAATGGATCCTTATCCACGACGTGCAGCCGCATGCCGTTCTCCAGGCTATAAAAGCCCAACATTCTCTGGTCATCATCTAGACGGGCGTACACCGATCCGTCGCTGCGTATGACCAGCAACTCCATGGCGTCCGGCTTGGTGCCTGTGTGCTGGTACAATTTGTGCCGAAGCTCGCCAATGGTGCCGTGCAAGTCCAGCCGGATATCAACCATCTGCAGCTGAAGGTTGCTGTGCGTGATGAGCAGACACACGACGCCTTCAGGTACATTGTCGTACTGGTGGCCATCCATTGCCGTCACGTAGTCCCGCAGCGCTCGCATGTCTTGCGCCATGGTGATCCTCTGGTGCGTCTCCGATGGGCTCCGATACAAAAAACTGCACCATATAACCCATCATCAGTTGCACCCATTCGATAAAGAACCCAATGAAAATAAGTCCATTGAACACCCATTAATGAAACACCCGATCGTCACGACTCTCAACCACCCACAAAAGCGGATTTCATTCCCAATTGTATCGATGACGATGGAGCTGCCGACGATCACAGCGCTCAAGGTGTACGACGTGCTGCTGATTGCCCTCGTCATGTTCGCTATGGATCTGGCCATGAAGCTGTGGAATGGACGCGGCACACAGCTGTCGCCGGCTGAGCAGAAGCTGATGGGCGAGTATAACGCACAGGTGCGGCTTGTAAACCGCCTCAACTCGGTCGAGACGTTCGTAGAGCAAGCCAAGGCTACGCGCAAGATGAACGCACTCAAGAAGGAAATGCAGGAGCTTGCTGGTGCGTTGAAAATGGGCGTAACTTATGTAAAATCCCCAGGCTAACATGGAAATACGTAATTGTGTCTTTCGGTAGTGGAGCGACTGGCAACAAGCGCGCCATCAGAGCTCCAGAAGCAGTTCGACCGCATTCGAACGGTGAGTTTGCAGTGATAAATGTGTATTCACAACTGGAGAGCTCATCGATACATGATGTGATATTACCTGCTGTATTGTTGCTACATTAGCCGGCGTTGATGGGACTGTTGATGCTATACTACTGGAACGAGCCCCTGGTGGTACTACCTCAAGGCTACATGCTTCCAGTGGAGCGACTCATGTCGTTCCCAGGATTCCCGCTCGGTGCTATATCTGCAATGGGCTGGGCCGGAATTTGCCGTCGCGTAAGTGCCAAGATCCTGAGCTAGACACCTAATCCGAACATCCAGTAATGACGGCAACGACAAGCGAAGACCGACACCGTAGACAGACGAGATAGCCAGCATATTGTAGTCCGTAGCAACCTGTTCCAACGAAATACACTGCAAACTGAACAGGAACAATCCCCGCACAGTAGTCGCTGCAGACAGAAGACCCAACGTGTTGTGTGCGAATGGCGTCACATGCATGGCCGACATGCGCGTTTCGATTAAGCTGAAGTTACTACCGACCTGACGAGTTGACAGCGGCAGGGCGTGTTGCATCGCATGACGACGTCTAGTAGTCCTCGTCTCCGCCGAACATGTCCATACCTCCGCCCATGTCGACCTCTTCCTCCTCCTCGACGGCCTTCTCCTCCTCCTTGGCCGGAGCAGCACCGCCAGCAGCAGCGCCAGCGGCGGGGGCAGCGCCCACCGACACGGTGGCGAGCTTGGCCTTGCCGGCCTCGATCACCTCCTCGATGTTCTTGCCCTCAAGCTCCTTGACGAGCTTCTCGGCCTGCTCCTGGTCGAACTCGCCGCCGAAAGACTTGACGACCTTCTCGAGGTCAGCCACGGCGGGGGTGGCGTTTCCGCCGAGCACACACAACAGCAAAGCAGCAACGTGACGCATCTGTAGCAGCAGTAGAAACAAGAAACCGTTAGATTTATGTTGGACTGGACTGTGCTATTACATTCGCTCAAGCGTCGGTGGAATTCGAGCATAACTATTGACGCACCTTGTTTAAGGTGAAAAGAGGTTCTGCCCGACGACGTCTCCTGTTACTATGCTTTGCGTCGTAGCTGAGACTTACGCTTGGAAGGCCAGCGATAGCCAATCACTCCTCGGAGCATACAAAAGGCAAGTCATTCGGCCCCTCGCCAATCAAAGTACGTTTCCTCTATATTTCGGTACCGTATTTGAAAGGATAGCACACACGTCGCAGGAAATTGGTGTCTTCAACGTGCCAAGCGAATGGCGCCGCCACATATATTTCTACGATCCTGTCGCGGTCCCTGGCGCTGCTGGGGCCACCACTGCTCCTGACAATCTCTTCAGTTTAGGCGGACTACTCAAATTGATGTTCTCGAAGATCCCCTCGCTCTCGTTAACGCGTACGCTGAGTATCATGTCTGGCGGCATTGCTGCTGCTGTGCCTTCAGTTGGATTGGAACTCGAATGCCCTGAGCTAAAAAGATCGTGACTGATATCGCTGCATTTACTCACCTGGAGAGCCGCTGCCGCTGCTGCGTGGTCGAGCGACGTCTGCGAGTTTATCGAGGTTAAAGTTGCAGGCATGATCGAAGCTGGAGGCGACCCTCTTCTTGTTCGAGTTACTACTCCCTTGGCACCTTTGGGATCGATAGCGTCGCCATGCTGCACATGACTGCGTTTTCCGTTCCGTGTCTTCTTACGCCGAAGGCAGTTGCACTTCAGCATGCGAGTACACAAGCCTTCGGAGCCATTTTCTAATATGAAGTCGTAGGTGCCCATTCCAACGTATAATAAATACGTGTGGAAACCAGCGAGAAGAACGAACGAGTTGGTCAGCGATATACAAGCTGCGTTATGAATCCAGAGCAGCACGATCACTGCTTCGTCCCAGCCCTCAGCAGTGTTGGCCTTCACTTCCGACTGCCATAATGTACACATGAGGATGCCTATGACGGTCTGCAGCAACGTCTGACATGTTGATGACACCACCAGATAGTAGAAAGCTTCGTAGTTGCTTTCAGCAATGCAGGTGTTCAGCCATGTGCAATGGTGATCGAGGCCAGGGCTGTTCTTGTAGCACAATCCACAATAACGTGATTCCTTTGGAGGAGCCTTCAGGATTGACGGGATGAAGCTTGAAGGTTTCTGTTAGCAAGGATATGAGCACCGTTAGCAGCGAGCACGGACGAGAGTATTGGTAGCGAACACTTACGGGTTTTGAAGGATCCCTCGATTCGCAAATGCACCACGATGCTATGACGATGATGACCAAGACAGCATTTGGAAGAAGAATCTTAAGACACTGCACAGATGAAAGTTGCCAGTTAGAGCAGTTTTGGATTAATGATGCGGCAGCTAGACATACCTTATCCCAGCTTAGCAATGTAGACACGAAGATAATGAAGCTCTACACAGTCGTAGGGACAAAGTCACACACTCAAGAAAGCTAAACCAACAGTACAGCAAGGCGTACTCCGATCAGGATCAGCTGAATGATCCAGCTTGTCACTTGGTCTCGAGAGAATGGTTTCTCAAATCCCCGGGTGCGCATGGTGGTGACAAGAGTAGAATAATGAATAGGAGTGGTGTTTGTCGAAGCCTCACCAATTGGTCACCGCGACACACCTTAAGCACCAACAGACCAAACATTATCCAGAACTCGGCTATTTGTGGTCCACTGGTGAACAATTTACAACCCCAACTTGGTCTTCATTCCACGTATAAATACTCAGACCGTCTATTTTGCGGACTCTGCTAGTCAACTCTAGTAGCTAGGGTGAAGTCCGAACAAGCTTTTTCTCAGCCTGTGGCTTTCCTGTCGAGGTGGCAGCGGTCGAAGCTGAACTGACTTTGGAGATGGCGATGACGCTTGACCAGTTCTCCAACACACGCAGCGACACTGCACAATTCAATTAGTTTATAGTCTCCATTCCCACGTCTCTGCCCACCCCACGCACTGATTCATCTGCATCAGCTTCTCGTTGATATTATCCAAATAACGCACTAGCTCCGCCGACTTGTCCCTCAGCGCCTCGAGCGCTTCCACTTCCTCATCCTTGTTGCCCGCCATCGCACACTTATTCAGTTACGTGTGTGTACCACGTCACAGAACCAGGCGGCAGGCTGTGATTGGTCAACTTAAACCCTTTGATTAGCATCCATTGGCCAATAATCACCCTCACTAGTCCATAGTCAGTTCATGAGCACTGCTGGCAGTATTGCTCCGTAACGGACGTGGTCGCTCTCCCCCCGTGCATGCTCTTGTCGTGCGTGGACACTAAGAAGAAGAAGCGCAAGCTCAGTACTCTGGAGGAAGGAAGCAGCAGCATGTGGTCAGACTCGCGTGGTACTACCTTGCCCAGCGGTGGCGTGGCTGGCTCGTCGTCACGCTCGCAGCCTCCACAGGCCGCGGCGCTAGCGGCCATGCGCCGTCACGGACGCACACTCTTGCTTCTCGTCGCTTTCGGTGTATTAACGTATATATCACTGTCCAAGTCGACGATGAGTGGCAGCGTAGGTACCGGTATCAGCAACAGCGCCGAACTGCGAACACCTCAGAACTGGGGCAACGATCAGCCGATGTTGCTGCCGTCGGTGACCACTGTTAAGCACAATATTCGACAACAGCCGACACTGGCACCGCCGCCTAAGCCCAACTCCTTCGGCATCGTCATCGTGGCCGATCTGGACAAGAAATCCAAGGACGAGAGCAGCAAGAAGCCACAGTTCCTGTCCTACATCATGCACGCCACGCTCAAGGTCACACCCAGTAGCTCCAGCGCCACCCAGAAACGTGACGCGTACTCAGTAACTTTCGGAGAGGAAACCAGGTTCTCAACACACATGAACGAGGCCGGACGAGGCTTCGAACTCAGCGAACTGGCCTGGTTTAACGGCAAATTGCTGGCGTTCGATGACCGGACGGGTATTGTGTTCCGACTGAAGCACTTTGAGGGAGTGAGCAGGACCAAACCACTGCAGGCCATCCCGGAGCACATCATCATGGAGGGAGATGGCTTCAATGGCAAGGGACAGAAGCACGAATGGGCTACAGTTAAGGACGGCGAGTTGTACATGGGGAGTGTGGGCAAGGAGTTCACAGATAACGACGGCAACGTCATCGGTGATGGCAATTTGTGGGTCGCTGTGATGGATCGTGCTGGTGAAGTGCGTCACGAAGACTGGACGGCGAACTTTGCAGCGGTACGGAAGGCTCTAAACTGCGAATGGCCTGGATATGTGGTGCACGAGGCCATTGAGTGGAGTCCTGTGCGGCGCCAGTGGTTTATCCTGCCACGACGTGTCAGTACTGAGCCGTACAACGACATGGAAGACGAGAAACGAGGCTCCAACAAGGTTATCATTGCAAGTGAGGACTTTAGCAGCATCCAGGTGCGAGAAGTAGGCAAAGTCACACCACTACGCGGTTTCTCGTCCTTCAAGTTCGTTCCGCGGTCCGACGACTCGGTCATTGTGGCTATCAAGAGTGTGGAGGTGGAGGATGAACAGAGACAAACGTCGTATATTACAGTGTTCGACGTGGATGGCAACGTGCTCATGGAAGAGACCGAGATCCCTGGAGCCAAGAAGTACGAGGGAGTTGCATTCGCTCACGACTGGTCTTAGACAATAGTCAAGTGTTGCATTCGCGATTCGCTCCAGATTTCTGGGGATTTAGCACATTTGTCTCCAAGATAGAACAGCGATTTAGTGCCAAGCTAGCTGTAGATTACCGAGTATTGGCTGCTCCGAACAAGCCTCTCTTCCATTGGAGTGGACAGGTGGTTCATACATCCACCCGACCTCACGTTTAAGCAATACGGATCAAGAATGAAAGACTGCTGTCTCCTTTTACCAGTTATAAAGATGTCTATTTGTCTTAAAGCGCAGTCATGTTCTCGCAAAGCCACGAAATCCCATCGTTTAGTCCCTCACCTGTAGTGGCCACTGTTGGCTGCACCTTGACACGCCGATTGACTTTTTCGCAGTTTTCTTGGAATTCCAACGCTTCTGTGAGCTCTTGAACATCTTTAGCGTCTGGTAGATCCCGTTTGTTAAGGATAATTAGCAGGCACGCATCTTGGAGTTGAGTGTCGACCAACATTCCGGTGAGTTCGGCCTTTGCAAGCTCTAAACGCTGGTCATCCGCACTATCAAGCACGAAGATGATTCCCTAGACAAGTTTTAAACCATTTAGTCGTTCCAAATAAACACCAAGCCTCCCATTTGACTCTTCTGTACCTGCGTCCCAGTAAAGTGATGCCTCCAATATGGTCGCAACGTGTCCTGTCCTCCAACATCCTAATGTTGCAATAGTTACACGATAAATTAGCCTAATAGTTCGAACTAGATCATCGAGCAAACTCACCCAAATGTTGAGTTTGTATCCTTCATATTTGATGGTCTCGACGTTGAAGCCTACTGTTGGAATGCTGGCAATAGCCTTGCCCAGACGCAAATGATACAAGATCGTCGTCTTGCCAGCGCCATCAAGCCCCACGAGCAGCAATCGACGTTCGTTGCGATTCCAGAAGCGCGAGAAACTTCTTGACAATGAGGTGCCCATGACATGAGCCGCTACAAGGCGGAAAATGCAGACGCGCTCAACTTGATGCGGCGACAACAAGGTCCCGATCAGGACACTCTCTGGAATCTCTTCGCAATATTTAGCACGATATTTTTACCCATAACACCTTCGTAACGACCCGTTAGCATGATATGCGTACGAAGAATTATCTGCCTGGGAATATATTGCCACTGGACAATAATTTATTGTCCACTTTAACCAAGAGAATCTCCACCATAGCCTTCACTTTTCCCAGCAAGGAAGTCTCGCTTGCCTGCTCCGATCTTCCGGACCTGCGAGTCCACCTTGGGACAGTCTGTGATACGGTGACCCAGACCACCACAGAAGGCACAGCCCTTCGTCCCTGTAGCATTTGAAAGTCCATTGCCACTGCGTTCTAACTCTTCATAAGGATCTTCCAAGGCCTTGAGAACTGGCGGGACAGTCTGCTTGGCTTCAACGAGCAAATGCTTGAGATCCAGCAGTGCACTCTCGGGAACGCTCTTGTTGATGAACGTTGTAGCTACTCCAGTCTTACCACAACGACCTGTACGACCAATGCGATGCACGTAGTTCTCGATCTCTGCAGGCATATCGAAGTTAATAACGTGTTTGATATCGGGAAAGTCGAGACCTTTTGCAGCCACATCCGTGGCGACCAGTACGTCTTTCTGTCCATTCTTGAACAGATCAATGGCCTCGTTACGTTCCTCCTGGTCCTTCCCACCGTGAATTGAAGCAGCTTCAACACCCTTTAGAATCAGATACTCGTAGATATCATCCACGTCACCCTTGCGTTCACAGAAAATGACAACTGGTGGACTAGTCTTCTGTAAACATTCCAGCAGATACACAATCTTGGCGTCCTGCTTGACATATTCAACTTCCTGGATCACATCCAAGTTAGCAGCTCCAGCACGACCGACGTTCACTAGAACAGGCTTCACTAGCACGTCCTTGGCAAAATCCTGGAACTTCTGGGGCATCGTAGCCGAGAATAACAGCGTTTGTCTCTGGCTTGTGAAGTGGTTGAAAGTTGTAGCCACTTCCTCGTCGAATCCCAAGTCCAGCATCCGGTCGCCTTCATCCAAGCAAATATATTTGCAGAGTCGCAGATTCATCTCGCGTAGCTTTAAGAAATGGTTCAGTCGACCAGGAGTAGCCACCACAATGTGCACACCACGACTGGCGATCAAGTTTGATTGCTGCCGCTTGTCTTCTCCACCGATACAGAGCAGACTACGGAGTTCCGGGTATCCAGCCTTGAACAGGTGAGTGGTAAAGTGCTTGACAACGTCGAAAGTCTGTCGCATGAGCTCTCGGGAGGGCCCTACAATGAGGCCAAATGGTCCTTCGTGGCCAATAATTGGCATCTTTTTCTCTTCTTCAAGCGCCAACATGACGAGCGGCAGAGTGAACGTCACCGTCTTGCCTGAACCTGTGAATGCGATGCCGATCATGTCTCGTCCTGCTAGGATACAAGGGATCGCCTGCACCTGAATAGGTGTGGGTCGCATGATGTTCTTGGCCTTAAGAGCGTCTAGAATGGCTGGTGGGAAGCGCATATACTCGAACGATTTGATGGGCGGCGGCACGTCTTCGCCTTCCACTAGAATGTGCCACTTTTTGCGGACTGCGTCGCACTCTTCCTGCGTCATGTTTGCGATACTGCGAGGAGGTTTCCACGTGGTTTTCATTGATTCTTTGTAGTGGATTCCCTCGGCACGCTCGTGGGCCGAGACCAGCGCCACTTTCTGCACGTAGCTGGCCTCTTTGAGCATGTTAACTTCCTGTGCGTCCTGCTGTGCCTTCTGCTGGTTCACACCCTGTTCCTCCATCTTCTTGCGCATCTCGTAGGCCTGGTCCAGAAGGCTTACGCTTGAGCGCTGCTGCGGCTGTGGAGGTTCGTCTAGTGTGGCGGACGATGGAGACGCACCGGCGTTTGGATCGCTGGTCTTCTGTCGCTTGGATTTCTGTTCATCCTCGTCGCTCCCGCTGTCCTCGTCGCTGCGCTCCTGCTGAATTCGCTCCTGAAGCGCCTTGCGTCTCCGCTGCAGACGCTCCTGTTCACGCTGGCGCCGTAGCTTCAGCGGCACGTACAGTGGCTCCTCTAGCTCCTCAGGCTTGGCGTCCATTGTCTTTGAATGAATAAGGAACAAACGGTAATGTAGCCAACTTGATACAGTAATGCAAATAAATGCAATACTGTATGATCATTGAAAACCATTATTCAAAACGGAGAAAAATAATATATTATATTGTCGAAAAACGAAGAAAGATCAACTGCTTTTCTAAGAATTTTTATTTAAAATAGGTTGAATATCATCAAATCTCCGACCTTACTTAGTTTTACACTAGTAGGGGCATAAATGACCAAACATTTTGTTTTTTAAACAACCAATCATAGAAGGATCCCAAAATCGTGCTGGCCAATCGAAACCGAAAGGAATAGGTTGGCCAACCAAGCACCAGCTCCGACATATCGGGTCGGAGCGGAACGGAAAAATATATATACTCTTACAAATTTCAAGATGTTAGCATATCACACGCATTTCATCATTGATCCGACTTCTCCGACCAGTATTAATATTAATAATACAACCATAAAAATAAATGATAATTGCATGGCTACAACTGTGAGTACAATGCTACAATACCAACTAAATAAGCGTGTCGGTCTTTACATCGGGAGGCGGCGGTCCTAGAAGCTAAGCTACAGCCTGTCACGTATAGGACTGCTGATGGCTAGGGCCAATAAGCAATGCTATAATATGAATACCGAATAAATACAATTGACGCATACATCTAACTCTGCTAAATTTCCAGTTTCTGCTACATTCCTGCGCAAACCTCTTTGCTCCATGCGGTCGTGATAGCAGCCAGACCCTCCGATACCCCCCCCCCCCCCCCTTCAGCGTGGTCCGCTCGCCAGTGCGTTTGCCTACACGAGCAGGCTACTCACTCACCGCCTTGCCGTCATCTCCATCTGCTCGCCACCGTCTCCGACGCACACCACACCACCGTCTCCGCCTGCTTGCCACCTCCTGCCACCGTTGCCCTCCTTGATAAAATGGAGGATTTCAATGTGGCCCACAACATCCACAGTTTAAATTTATATATTTGTTTCTAGAGTTACCAACTCGGATGAACCATGGTTTTGGTACAGGTCGGAGAAAGTCGGAGGTCGGAGATTTTATGTTATGGGTAAACGTTTCTCTACACATGCGGCTTTGTGCTGTTCGAAAGAAAATACTTTCTTCAAAGTATATTTTGACAATACATGTAAAAAATTGTTCTAACGAGAGGTCCTTCAACCGGAAATTATGCGCGCTGAGTTGGTTAGACGTCGAAATGATCACCTTCGACAAAGATGGGATCTACAATACCTCCAACTTGCAGCGTGAAGTAGACAAAGGTGAACTCGCTGTGGAGCTCCCACATACGAACGTCCATTACATTTACTGAGCATGTTTGATCAAAGAAGCGCTTTCCCCAGAGCAAGAGAACGCAGCACTGGAGGATCTTGAGAACGACAACTGGTTGTGGAAGTGTAGTTTGCAGCTAAACGTGACAAATAGCATCCATTTTATCGTTGTTGCTAAAACACTAACCCATGCAACGCGTAGCTCCAATGTACGCGCTTTAGTCAACGTATCCTTCTCAAGCTATGCTCTTTTCATTTGCTTAGAGAACCACGGAATCGCCAATGGGCTTGAAACCACGGCATACGAAGTTCTTGCCGTAAACATAGGGAGCACGACGCCGATGAACCTAGTCGATTTGAAAAAGTCGAAATTTTTCTGCAGCATCGAAGTGTTCCTGCTCGATGGCTAGCACAAGTACTGCTCCAGAGCGGAGATAGTAAAATTCCTGTGGAGGAGACTCTCGTAAGCGGTTTGCTGCAAAGCGACAGAGGTCTCATTATAATATTTCTTAGTGTTTTATATCAAGGAGTCGTTAGCAGCAATGATGTCAGCCTGACCCGTACACAAGGTAGACGTCCCTTGTACAAACACCTTGTAGCTACCGTATTGTCGTAGTCGTAAGCGTCGTTTATTCCTAAGGGTCAGCTGCAAAGGGTCCAATAAGAACCAGCCATTTTCTTGCAGATGGTTTTGTTATTTACAGAACGAGCACATTTAATTTTAGACTCAGTGCAGGTAAAACAACACCCATAAGAAGTCAGACCTCAAAGCACGCTAGTCAACCAAGAATCATCTCCCCTCGCATAAATGGCCAAGGCAAGAAACAAAAGTCTTATCAACGCACAGCTGTGAAATATGTTCACAAACGTGATGTTCTTAGCTACACCGAGGACGGTCACACCCTTGATGAGACCATTAGCAACTTCTATGACGAGTTAAAAGCAAATGAAGTTCGGGCTAAAAATATCAATAAGTGGATGAAGCAGACAGCAACAATTCGCGCTGCATGTGAATCCGGCCGGGGACATCATCTCAACCTGCGCAGTCTTGGCGACGCGACTGTACTTAGCAAGGACGCCGAAGCTTCCATCGTTCTTTGGTTGAACTCTCTGAGGAAGGAAGGGCCCCCAGTCTCTCGTCTCAATTATAGAGTTCCACGCTAAAGACATAGCGACTGAGGTCGGACTTGGAGACAAATTCGCTGCAATGTCGACATGGATTAAGCTATTTCTTCGACGCCACCAACTTTCACTTCGGGCGCGTACACGACAGGGACAAACGACACCACGGAAGAAGCATCAAGTATCGAAATCGAGCTGATAGATAGTAGCATTGTCGAGGAATTGGAGAGCTGTAGTCTAACTGACGGAATCATGACTCAGACGACGACATTGAAGCCAATGGCGACTTCGACAGCGATAGCGAATAAAATATAGCGTAATTCATATAATTGTTTTTAAATCAAAACTGCGATTTTGTCGCAAAATCACGTTGCGATCCACTCAGACACACAGTGCCCTGGACTGCCGACTGACGGAGGGGGTACTCCGATAACCGTGGGGTTGCTGAGGG